GTTTTCCATTAAAGCTACGTTGATAATGTACTGCGAGGAACAAATGCAACCCTTATAGAGGATTTGAAATTTGACTTGCTCAAAGCTCGACTAAGTGGTCCTGGAGGAAATACCAGCGGTGCGGATGGCTTGACAAAACAGCAGGCGAATAAAACCAGTGATGTGGATGCTGCCTCGATCCTGATGGACCCCCTCGACTTTTATCAGGTATTTCGGACTAACCAGTGTTTCTTGCAGCTGAAAGTCATAATGATTGCAGTACTACGGCTTCGTCGACTCGATTTTACCTTTCTGCAACCTCCTCGAGACCAAAAACTTCACTGCAGCCCCTGCGGAGAACGGTCTCGTGTCAATTTCAGGAGTTGAAGATGCCTTACAGGCTTTCCTCGCTGCTCTTGCAGAGCTCGATTATGATTCTATCCCTGGGTCTGCAGATGATCCTGTTGCGGACATGTCTTGGATGAGGCAGTACTGCTCTGAATACGGTACGCAAAGAATATGATACGCCCGTTCTCGTGTGTGTTTGCGTTAATGTGACTCGTATGTCCAGGTTTCTACCAACGTGGCGACCCCGATAACCCATTATCCATTGAGACTTCCTTCCAGTCTTTAGAGCTGTTCCAGCAACAATGTAACGAAGCCTTCTCTGATCATCTTCCGACCTGGCCTCAAGTAGGGAATATCAACAAATATGGCGGGTGGGATATGCAGCCTTCGAACATTATGTTCGCTAATGGCGAATGTAAGTGGACATTCTCCTATAATGTTGCTCTACGCTCACCCCGTTCTCTCCCAAGTCGATCCATGGAGAACGATGGGTCTCGCATCCATTGAATCGAATGCTCCTCAGAGAAAACCTTCGGTCATTGTTCCTGGGTGCAATGTCCCCTCAAACGCAACGACGTTCTTTGGCATAACGTATGATAACATGGTCCACGTTTCGGATATGCGAGTGCTTTTGATTCCAGACTCGAACCACATGGATTTCAAGACGATTGGATTTTACAGTCCAGTGTCACAAGCACCTTTTTATACAGGACTTGGACTTTTCCAGCTGGCATTAGATGAATGGCTGCCTTGTTTCACAGCCAAGTCCGCAAGGGTGTAGATAATTGGTATCGGGTATACAATTGTTCTTCTTACATTTCCAAAAAGTCATCATCCTCTTCAACCAAAACATCTAACAACTTGAAGAAACTTGCCATCGGAAAGCCAACAACGTTTTGATAATCTCCTTCTACTTTTCTCACCAAAACACCACCCATTCCCTGGACAGCAAATCCACCTGCACGGTCCAGTCCTTCACCAGAGTCTGCGTAAGCTTGAAGGAAGTGCTGTGGGTTATCAGCGAAGTACACCAAAGAGCGCTCGTCAATTGAATGGATCCCGTATCCAGGGGCAGTGAGGATTGGGTATGCCAAAGTCACTCCAGTGACGACTTCACAAACTTGTCCGTTGAGATCCATGAGCATTCGCAGGTTGTCTGCCTTGTCCTTGGGTTTCTCAAGCAATTCTTGACCAACCGAAGGAAGTAAAGTGTAATCAGTCTGCGATGTGGATGGCTGAGCATGAGTGAGAACTACTGTGTCGGCTGCGATGACGAGATCTGGAGCGTTATCTGGATCTTCAGCCTGGTAAAATATTGTCAATAGAGCTGAATTAACACTCAAGTATACGCACCACTAGCCTTTCATAGACTTCGACCGCTTTATGGCTCGCCGTAGCAACAGGATATTCATGTACATCTGCAAAAGATGCAGGCGAAAGATTTTCCTCAAAAGTGGAGGGGATTATATCTGGCGCAAGTCCCTACTGACGAAAGATTCAACGTCGATGCTAATTAAGAAATAATTAATCTCTGCACCCACAATGGTTCTCAGAATGTCCCGTCTCCTGGGGCTATTCGAGGCAAGAACAATTCGTTTTCCTGCAAGTTTCTTTATTGCCGGAACTGGGAGCGCATTGGGAAGTATATGTCGGGAGGATAAGTCGCGCGACATGATATCGATTAGACCGTTAGAGTTGTTTATAAATGCAAGGCAAAGTCACCATCGTGGCATTACATAATGCGTGACTTATCGTCGCGAACTTTCTTTGCAGTCTTTTTGCAGTCTACCACCATCGGTGTACCTTCAACAACACCCCCTCGCCATTTCACAAGCCTCTACGTTGTGTCTCTTCTATCTTTAACGCTCCAGATACCCGTCTTTGTCGCCCTGAACCTGTCTTACCCTGGTTCTTCATCTCCTCCAGCCCCACGATGCACTTCTCGTCCTAACCAGAAGTGATATCTAACCCTAAGTTCTTTCGGGCTGCTGCACATCCTTATATTCTCTCTTTAATATGTTCGTACGCCAATCCAACTGTAGAGTAACAGTTCCAGAGGTCGTGTACATGGAGTCTTCACGTCGAACGTTCTTCGCCTTGGCTCTTGCGCGAATATGGCTCTCCAAGTACACCGAAACACTTGCCTGCGATAATTCCTTTCACCATCCTATATCGCCTCTCCAGAATGTGTTCTATTTCGCGTTGTTTCTACCACCGACTTCTCGCACAGAGTCTAGCCTGTGTCGTCTCGGGACCCCTTTCTCCTTCTCTCATCCCCGTACAGAACGCTGCCTTTGGTGGGTATTCTTTCATGCGAGAGCGGTAGTCAAAAGGAAAGACGATGCCGGAAATGCTTGTACTTGCACTCGCGTCATGTTAGACACACGTGTTGAGCACTAGAGGGCGTCGCGGGACCTTGCGGATAACAAGTGGGAGGAGGAGCATGGTCACGTACACTACGAACTTGGATCGAACCTTATTTGCCTGGCTCCGTGGCTCTCGCACAGACATCTTTGATGTTACAATTGACCATCTTACTCCAGCAAGGATGTTTTCGGCGCCAGGCAATCTGTCTGGTTGATTCTACACTATCCTCTCGGCGTAACACGAACTCAGACAAGCACACGCACAGGAAATCAGCAGTCTAGGTCTCCCTGACCTTTCGCTGGACTCAGCTTGCTCGACATTTTGTCAAACGAGTCATAGTTCAAACCCCGGCAGCAGTTTGACCATCTTTCCTCTGCCGTGGGCCACTTCGATCTCTCTTTGCTCTCAGTCTGTGTCCTGTCATAGCAAATGGTCGGAGGAGAGGTCCCAGAAGCCGGCGCGCATCGGAAACCCGGTGGGCTACAGGGGTGATCAGCTACCAGGGGATCATAGGACGTGGATTGGGCTGACATGGACATGAAGGGTCCCGAACAGAAAAGCACACTTGGAGGAACCACTTGACAGATGACGATGCTTGTTTGATGGGTCTTTAGCTCTCGCACAAGCTCGATGTAGTGGTACATCCAGCAATTGGCTTTCTGAGCGCGGTCTCCGTGAGTACGACTATTGTTCAATGTTCCTGGTTTACCTCGGCAGGTTTATCCGCCCCCAACTTCGCGTCCTTTCATGACAGAGAGGCCGACTGCGGTGTTATTCGCCACAATCCGAATAGCTTGCTCCCACCTCGTTCAACGAGGTTTCGGACGACATCGTTCGTGTTGGGAAGTGACTCTTTGGCAAGCTTTGGTGCTGATCAAGGGTTCTGCTCATGCTGGAGTAGGTGATCTGCATTCTTCTCAGTCTCACACTGCAAAGACCTGCTTGGGGCTCTTGTCGCATTCCTTTCGATTGTTCTTCGTCGCGCTAGTTTGTTCTTGAACGCATTTACTTCCTCCGGTCCAGGGTATGGCTTCTTATGATCCAGCAAATGTTGCGCACCTTGTTCCGTGTTTCTACTAAGCCTAGAAGTATACTGCTAGAATGAAAGGTTTCATGTGGACTCGTCGGACGGCCGTCTCCGTTTGTGAATTACAACTCCTTTGGGATGTAGTAATAGAGGTTCTTCCAGCCTCGAGTGCAGTTGGCAGATGTCAGTCGTCCGATAGTTCGTTGGAATCCCTAGTTTTGGTTCAGCACTCTGGTGTGTCGGTGGTTCACAGCTTGGTTGCCTCTTCGCTGGGGAAGACTCCATTCCTTTTTGGTTCCGTTGTAGATGTGATGCATCTAGTTTTTGCCCGTACAAGAAGATGAGTGACTGTGAAAGTGGGAAGGGCTCTTTGTCGGAGAGCAGTTGACTGGACGTCTTTTTGAAGACGAGGAATTGCGTGATTCACGAAACATCTCTGCATGAATTTACCTTGGTAAAGCTGTGCTGGTTTCATACATCCCTTCACTGCTCTTCGAGAGTAAGAATGATCGTTGGTTGATGATTCTCAAGTTGCGAGTGTGGTTGGAAACCTACTAGTTGTTTCGACTGGTAGGGACTACATAGGAGCAGGAGCGAGTGGACGGTTGTGGTTCGAGGTTCTTGGGACCACATTGTAGCGGGGGTTGCCTACCAATGGCTTCGAGAGTGGTTCGACCTGTACCTTGGTTTTCCTTCAAAGGAATGATTGACGTGGTCGTGCTTCGGATGCCGACGAATGTCAATTCTGGGTGGTCTTGGGGAGGACATGAATGTCCAAAGATCCCACTTTATAGGCTTCCATAATTTTTTATCCTGCTTTGCTTTCGTGGCAAATTTGACTTCGGTCAATCTACTTATGTCGTACTCTGGAGGTATGGTCGGTAGTAAATGAGGTATCGAGGGACCGACATCATTTCCCATACTCTCCTCGTAGTGGGACCTGTGTTTGAACAGAGTCGCGTACCTATGATCTATCCCTAGTGCTGTTTGCGGCAGCAATCCCCGACTGTATCAGGTATTTACAGCGCCTCATTGAAAGACGAACTTTCTGAAATAACTTTACCCCACAAATCAGAGTTGCTGTTATTGCTTGAGACCACATAGTCGGGGATCTAGTGCCGCGCTTGCACGGCAAATCCCCGACTCTGAGCAATCTCATTAAGCCCATACGGTCATACATTGATCTATGTATATGTCTCTCAGTGCATTTCGCCATAGGAGAAAGGGTAGTAGCTACATTCTATAGATATTTCGAAGAATTCATTGGTAGAAAAAATAATGCAACAGAGGGGAGTCGAACCCCTTTCCCGGCCAGTCAAGGACATTGATGGGAAGACCGGATCATAACCGTTAGACCACTGTTGCCTCCTCACCAACATTACACACGTTGGATGTAATCTGATGTACTAGAGAGCTAAAAATTGTCGCTCGCCCCAATCAGCTACAGGGGGGTGGGGAGAGTCCGAACCTGGCCTGGATATGTAACAATCAATTAGACTATCTTAATCTATCTAGACACACAAGAAGCACAAAACCGTCTATGAGTTTCTCAAAAGCAGAACGAAATATAAAAAATCCAGAAATAACCCCTAATTGGCGTGTCCGTTCACACCATTCACAGTAGGCGACTGCGATTCGCCGCGTGCACCTATGGCCTGCTGGGCATTCCTACTAAGCACTTCCAGCAACGGCTGAACCCTTACCGAAACCTCATGGGTCACTTTCGTCGCCTTCTCCTGAATCGACACATTCTCCGCTGCCATAATGCTCCGTAGCTCGGACACTGTCGAGGCAAGGTGGTTCGACAATTCTGCGTAGGTAGCAGAGGCTGATGAAGCTTGAGCCTGAAGCACAGAGGATAGTTCTGCATATCTCTGTTGAACCTGCGGAGGAAGTTGAGCGGTCGGATCTTTTATGGTTTTCGAGGCCGAGGCTTGCAGAGAGGCAGAGAGAGAAGTGGCTTGGGATTGAAGTTTCCCAAGTTCAGCGATCATATTTTCCGAGACGGCGTGCAATTTAGCTTGGACATTCGAGAGGGATGATGAAGCCGTGTTACTGAGACTACGAGCAGTCTCCGTAGCGCGTTGGCTATGAAACGTTGTGATGAATATAAATAATGTAAGGAAACGATAGGATCAAATGACATACACAAGAACAGAGTGAGCCTGAAGTTGTGTCATTTGCTCGTTGGAATAAGATTGGAGCTGGTCTCTGAGACGAACGGAGAGCTCAAGCGCACGCGAATACTGCGAAACATGAGCTTCCTTGTCTGCTGAGGTACCATTTTCCTGGGTACTAGAGTCAATCCGGTTAACGGCGACCTCTAGATAATCCACAATCGGAGCAAATCTCTGCAAAACAGACAGCGATAAGGTTCTGAAACAACTGCCAAAAGAGAGAACTAACCTTATCAATATCGTGAGCGATAACACCGGCACTTTCCCGCCTTTCCCTAACATATTCACCTACATCTTTCTGCCTGTTCTGAACATATCCCATCACATCCTCTGGTGTGGTAGTAAACGCACTAGGATACCTCTTCTGTACTACATCTACAGCTAGATTGGCGTAAGAGTCCGCACGGACGATGAGTGGCGCCAAATGAGTTTGGAGCGGCTCCGTGAGCTTATAGGCGGAATTGGACAATCCCAAAGCTGTAGAGTACGGTGAACGTGTGTATGTGTTTGTAGATAAGGTATCGTTGACTATTTCGAGCGAGGATGAGATAAGAGGAATAGAACTTATTCGGGAGATCACTGTAAGTTCTGGAGGGTGGGTAGAGGGGGACGAAGAAGGCATTGGAATGCTGGAAGTTTCTGTTTGAGTGGAAGACATGGTGAACAAAGAAAATGTTATCTGTTTCGCTACATTTATTCAACGACACTTTCATGTGAAATTTGAGTGAATTTATCATGTGTTTTCGATACGCTCGCGACCCTGGATCGCGACACTGCCTGGCTTGACCACTCGAACATACCAGAATCCAAATAGCTCTCTTCATAATGGGTCGTTCGCTGTCGCCTCTCAGAAGCGTTCGGCATAAATGCAGTTTCCCGTTTTCGGGCCTTTTCGGGCCCCACATTGTCCATCAACGAAATATTATCTATTTCACGAAAGGTCTGAGAGCTTTTCCTGCGGACATCGAAAAGCGATTATATTATAGCCAATATGTGGCGCTCCAGCAGCTGTTATAGAGTTTTGTTATCGTCGTCTGATAGGAGTATGTTTTCAGAGATAAAGAGATTCGTCGCGGGCGCTCGTTGTCTGGACGTTTGTTCGTATTATGTAAGGGAAATGATTTCGGCTTCGAAAGTCTTGCCGCCGCTTGCCTCCTCGTCCTTTGCAAGCAGGACACGACCCGACGCGACCCAACGCGACATTGAAAACCCTCTTGTAAAAGCCATCGTCTGTATGTGAAAGGCTCTTCAACGTTCGACAGTCATGAGGGTGATCTTGTCGTTGAAGGTGAACGTTCGTTCAAATTTTTTTCGATTCTGGCTACTCAGGCTTATTTCGGACCGTACTCTCTGAAGATTCCGAGTTTCTACTTTTCCAATCAAGCCTGTGAAGGCTTGTGAAGGCCAATGGACCCAACTAGACCTGAACGGAGCCGACGGATTGAGATTCAAAGTTGAATCGTTTAGGGTCTTTTAGTGTCAACCTTTCATGGTTTCAAGGAGAAGAAGCAAAGAACATCAAAATTGAGGCGAACTAACCGTCGGACCCGATAATGAGCCCGCGTATAACTTGGAACCACCGCAAAAGCTTCACTCTCGTTCACTGCCCTCTCTTCTCCCTCTCGAAATATTTCCCACCGGTCGCTAGGAATTTGGATCACTTCGAAATGGATGAAAATTCCCCAGACAAAGTGACTTCTGTGACTTCTCAGAGATATTATTCTTCTGTGCAATATTTGCTCCCTGCTGAACAATTGATATTTTACGTGCTTGTTAACGATGTACCGCAGATTGGATGCTCAGCATCTGATCATCGTCAAGGCATTCGAAAATCGGCTGTCTCTAGCACCGTTGAATCTTGTCGCTGGTGATAAAGTGCTCGAAAGCGCAGCAGGCAGCGGTACGGCTATCCTCGCTCACTCACACTGGTTCTGACTATTTGCTTGAAGGAATCTGGGCACTCGAATTCTCCGCCGAGAGCCATGCAAACGGCGTCAAGGTGGACATAGAATGTATCGACCTTTCCTCCAAACAGTTCCCTCCCACTGGCACCTACCCTTCCAATATCAATTTCTCTGTCTACTCTATCATCTCCCTTCCTCTCTCATGGACCAATACCTTTGCCTACGCGCATCAACGGCTTATCGTTCTCGCTCTCAACGATTCCTTATGGCGCCAAGCCATCGCCGAGCTATACCGTGTACTCCAACCGGGAGGTTACCTCGAGCTAGTCGAGTTCGAAACGAAGCGGTTCCATTGTGGTGTCGGTCCCTCGTCCAACAAGTTATGCTCGTTGGTGGATGAGTTGTTTGCGGACAAAGGGATTATCCAAGGCGTATCAACGTACCTATGTCCTCTGCTTGAGGAAATCGGATTCGTCAATGTAAGGTGTGAAGTCAGGGATGTACCGGTTGGAGGAAGGCAATGTGTCGTCCAGAGCGGGGCTGGGTATACTGGTGAGCAATGGGGTGAAGGATGGATGGGTGTAAAGGTACCTGTGGTGAAGGGTGGGGGATATGGAGTGGTTAACACGGAAGAGGAGTTTGATGTGCTTGTACGGGATTCGGTACAGGAATGGAATGAGTCGAAAGGATTGTTCACGAGTTTTTATACAATTCTCGCGAACAAGCCTTACTAGAACTTGTGAATCGAAGATGGACATATTGGTCTCCACAGTACCATACGAGTACATATGTATGCATGGATGGTATTTCATTTAATTCAATGAGGGAGACATTTCCATGGTCTGTTCACCACTACAATATACTCTTCATTTTCCACTGTGCCTTAAACCATGCTCTCTGAATTGCAACTTTCAGCTTTACAAGAATGAACACATGATCACAACTCAACTTACTACTTCCTCCTTCGTGACATCTTTTTTCACTTTGAAAACTCCGGGATATCCCCAATCCACAAGTCGAGCTTCAGTTATGGGGATAGTCAGAGCCAGACCCTTAAGCGTTTTTTTCCCGCCAACAAGAAAGTTGTCAAGATGAAAATCGCTGGATTAATTAGTGAAGATATACACATTTTGGATAGTACGGCACAAAATTGCTTACGTTTGAAGGATTCCCTTCTCAACTGCACTGTTCACGACTTCCTCTTCTACCAGTGGTTTGGCTTCTTCCAACCACTTCAATCTGAGGTCCAATATGGCATTCTCATACTCCGTGGTATCCTTGATCATCACCCCCTCGACCAGCTTCATCACAATGACAGGATACTTCCCATTATCAACATTAGCCATCCCCGAGTCGACGTAAAGACCAACATCTTTCAAGGCTTTCACTTCACCCCAAACTTTGTTATCCACTACACTTTTTGGGTTCCGTAGGCCTCCAATGACTTTGATAATAAGTGTGTCTTTGCCATGTTTCACACCCTTAATCTCGTAATCTTCGAGTAGGAGATAGATGCCTTTGTTGTACGCGCCCATATACTTGTATAGGACATCACCGACTACCAAGTCGTTCAGGTTTTTTTCTAGTACATAATACATGTTATCATTGAGACTGTGGACTGGTAAAAGACCATGATCATCGGTGAACTCACCAAAGACTTTCTTGTCATCTCCGTCGAGGTATTCATCTTCCCTGTAGAAGCCCAGAATCCAATCGGGCTGGTCAACATTTGAGTTATGGTGATGGATCTGATGAAGAAAATTTTACGTTGCGCTCTCCTCCACTTGGACCCAATCTTTTTATCTTCTCTGAGTTTGGAGCGGGAGTGGGTGCGGCATCAGTGGCATGTATTGTGAATATGACGAGGAAAAGGAATAGAAAGGAAACAATTTTCAAAGTAGGCTGCATGATGGCTGATTGCAAGTGAAGGAAATCGAAAATTTTTCAGAGAAGAAGGGTTCAGAGAGATCGCCAAGAGCAACGAGCAATGAACAGATACAAGAGGAAGGAGAGGAGCTCGTGTCCTTTTCGGAGGTGGCGAACTGTAGTTGTCCAGCGTCGAGGGCAATTAATGGATGAAAAAATCTGAGAGACGAGAGTTGCAGAAGCTCCTCAATAGTTCAGTCTCTGACCAGCAGAGGGAGAGCAGGTGAGAACGGAAAAGAAATTGCCTTCTTCTGCAAGCCTGATTGTTCGTTATTTAAACTAGTTTTAAACTAGGCTTGCCAGTCTGGTGTTTGGCCTGAACTCGGAAGACTCGCTTACTTTGGCGACCTGAGGTGTT